TGTAAAAATGTCCGCCAGCGCCCTCTGCCGTCCTCTGAACGCCCCTTGGGGGGCGGTACCGCCCACGTTGAGAACCGCTTGTCTAACCAGTAACACCACCTGTAACACCAGCCCTCCAATCACAATGCTGCTGCTATGCACAAGGCTCTGATGGTATGTATCGGTTCCTTGTAAATCAAATAATGAAAATACTTATCACTGTTCTCTATAAAATTACAAATGGTCTTGGTTTTTCTGGGTGCTTAGCTTTGTGGCTGTTTTTGACAGTAGACACATACAAGTTGCATATCAGTTTTCAGGTTGTGACACAAAGAAAACAATAAATTTACTGTAAAGTAAGTACAGTAAAGCAAGTACAGCAAATTCAGTTTAATGAGGAACACTTCTGTCCAACTGTTTGTTTTTTTGTTTCTTTGTTTGAAAATTGCTTAAATAATGAAACCCTTACCTGGCTTCCTCCTGCAGCTAGAACACTTAGTCCAAACAACATGGCAGTGATGCAGATCAGCAGCTCGAGGACTAGGAAGATCACCAGAGTTCCCAAAATCCCATCAAGAAGTAGCTGCCCAGAGAATTTCAAGGTTAGCATGGTTACAATTAGTGTGGATATTCCAGAGACAAGTAGCTTCTAAAAAATACAATGTATTATGGAGCCTCTCCATTACCCCTCTACAAAAATATATATTCTCCAACCTAGTTATCTTAGACTCCTATCTGTAATCTAAAAATATGTGTGACCAAAGTTGTAGCAATAGTCAGTGACTTACTTTACACTTTTGCTCGACCAGCCCGGTGCATTTTCTGAAACAATGTTGCTGCAGTGGACAGTAAACACAGAGAAATAGGAAGTCTGCTTCACAACTTGTACAGTCCATCTTTGAGACCTAAGCTATGTTCTTCACATTATAATATATCTCTTATAGATATCAGTTAGGGGTGTCTAATGTATTGATATAAATATACTTCATTTATATATATTTATTTTTATAGAGACAATTTTTGTTACATCTGCTGTATATTTTGTTATAATGTATTAGATACTATTATTTTATTGCAACTGTTTGGCCGTATTTAATTTAGAATTAAACATAAAATTTCATTTGATGTCTTACATTGAAATTACTTACCAACAGATTTAACCACTTAGTTCAAATTTAGATTTAAGTTTTAACAACCTACTTTATAATATGAAACACCTATATCAGAATTATTATTTCAGGAGGATGATGCCTATTTCCAGTCAGAGGACAAAATGTGAGGTACAACTGAAAACAACAGCTCAACACAGAGTGACCAGACAGCCATGCAAACAAACTCACATATAGATACAGTTTAGAGTGATCTATTAGTATGTACAGAGCCCATCTGGTGACAGGAGAAAAACACCACAAGAAATGTGAGAAACTTGTTTGGTGGGAAAAAATGGTGGGAAAAAAAATTATTTCAAAAGTGTCTCTGTACTTTGACTAGCTGTTGTCCATATATTTCCAAGTGGCTGACGCAACAAGTCTAATTTCATTGTGCTTTATTTTAAGCTGAGAATTAATCGTTATATTCTTCAGTCACTTGCAGTTAGATATGAAGTAGTTTTTAGCAAGAGACACTTAACGTAACTTAGCCTACCCTGTAACGTCCCATTCTGTAACAAATTCTGGTTTCAAAAATGTAATAAAATGTCATTAAAACACATTATGTAATAATCAACACAAAACATAGTAAAATATTTGAACAGTTGTAATTCTTGGTCACATTATACAAAATATTTTTACATTTTACACTGATTATTAAAAAATGTGGAAGTAGCTCTTTTAAAAAAAAGATATGTAATGCATAATGCAATCAACAACCACAAACCAGTTTTTGTGTTCAACATATCCTTCTTACAACAATCATGTTGTAAATGCTAAGCATTTAAACCTTTGACACAGGTCAATATATGCCAACATTTCCATCATTTAGTTGCCTTTTTAGCTTTACTGCCATAATCCCTGTTACAGAAATATTTACCATTACTCCCTGAAGATATCAAAACGTCTGCATTATTACAGGCAATACATTTTTTCACAAACTTGGTAACTGAGATTAGAGCAAACCTGTGTCATACAGAAGTTAAAGCACGTTTGTTGAGGATTTCGACCTCTGTTGTTGGATTTTCTTAATTGACCACTACAGGGCTTCGGTCAGAAAGCACACTGGTCATAAGGTGTTTAAACAGGTTTACTGAAGAATTATGTCTTACAACGGTGCAAATAAATTGAAGCAGTTTCTGAAAATACAGAAATAATAAAGGTTTCAAATTACTATTGCAAAAATGTAATTCTAACAATTCACAAGTAAGTAAAAAACATCAGCATTAATTCCCTCTGTGATAAGGGCTGTTTAAATTTAAATGATGCAAAACTTGGAATCAGTCTAGCTATAATTGGTCAAAGCTCAAAACTAATAGTTAAATGCTAGATAGTTTTAGTAAAAATCAACCACATTAAGAGTAAAACAGATATTAACAAAACTATAGAAATATACTAGCAGCTAAACAACTCTGTCAGCAGTGATAATTAGCATCCACTTATTCATGTCACATGACTAATACCACTACTCGCATCATCAATGACTGCGACATCTGTATCAACAGTAAACAGAAAACAGACCAGCTGATGAAGTCAAGAAGAAAATAAATGGAACAAACCTTAAAAATAAAAGGAAGCACTTCAAAGTAAAAGCATAGATATGAGACATCGAACTACTTGAAGAATTAACAACGTTGATTTTCCTTTTTATCAACACTGAAAAATCTTGAGTCCATTTGTGAACTTAATTTCTTTGTGGGGTAGTATACCTTGTAGGTTCTGAACGCACCACACAAGTGCCTGAATCTAATTGTTTGTGGCACTGGCTGTCTGTATTGACCTTATTCCTGGGGGTCTTACTCATAGACATAATATAAGAATAGACGCCTCATGGACCACTCTCGCCTATTGTCATTGACGAGATTTAGGGCGGCCATCTTGGAAGGATCGACCGCTCCACTCAGCGTTATATGTTTGACAGGCATAATGACATATGAGCGCATTTATTCGATTATAACACGCTTTTTATTACTGGAAACCATATTCAAACTTCTATGAAAGCTGCATTTATAAACAATTGTATTTTTTAAGTATTTTTTTTATTTTATTGATACATTGTTCAGCATATTTAATATGTTTAGTGGGAAAACAATAGAATAGGAATAGAATATTCTGATATTGATGTATGATTAGCATTTTACAAAGCACACAGCCGTTCATAATTTATTAAATAAATTATTTTGTAATATCAATATGTCAAAATGTAGTTTTGTCTAGTCAAAATGCATTTTTAGACATCTGGAATGTAATTACGGATAGTCAGATGAAACCGAATTTATGTTAAATGGCTTGCCATAGGTGTAAAGCTGGCTCCTGTCACTTGTCCAGGGTGGCTGATTTGGGCTGGTTTGTGACCAGCTCGGACTGATTCTTCTAGTGTCGCTGTGGGTGGCGTCTGCTGCAGCGTGGTGGTTCGTTCCTGGACGGATCCTTAATTTGAACTGTTGCTGCTTGATGATTTGTTGTGGATTGAACTGTATAATTGTAAATTAATGTATGTAATTTGAATGTCGTTTCCTTTTCCTTTATTTTGACAGGAACAGCCAGCTCGCGGTGTTGGTGGTGGACTTTCCGAGTGGTGGTACTCTTTCTGGTTTGGTGCATGATTTTCTTTTATTCTTGCCGTTTCGTTTGCTGTGTTTCTTTTTTAGGTCACTACCCTGATTTGGACTACCATCTCTGAGTTGAGCCATAACCGTCTTTTAATGTGTGAGTGGTTTTAAATTGGTATATTTTTTGACTAAACTGAAAACAATTATGCAATAAATAAAATTATTGAATTGGGTGAGATTGTCTCAAGCCTCATCTGTAGAGGGTCTGTGTATTTGAAGGTATATTTACTTCCACCACTGTATTTTACGGTGGCCAACAGGTACAAACACCCAGCAAAGACGAGAAAAACACATGCAACAGAAAAGAGATGCAAACAAAAAATGCTGAAAACAGAAGTGATCCAGACCATTAGGGGGAGTCGAACAAAGAACAGCTGTGTCCGAAGTCAGGTTTTGCATCCTTGGTCCTCGACGACCGGAAGAGAGAAGCTGTAGCTTTCAACTAGCTGCTTAGCCTCTACCTTGGCGTTATGTTGCTTAGCAACCATGACAAAATGAATCATATAACAGCGAAGGAAAAAAAAACGGACGGATGTTTTTTTTTTTTTTT